TAGGAAACTAAGGAACTGAAGTTCTACACCCGGCAAGGGCAGCTCTCTCTCGTTCACAACCTTCTGACTGGCCTTGGGAGCCTAGCCCGACTCCTGTTCAATGGGACACATACCGCACAGGCAATACATCCTGTAGACAACAGAATTACCCTGAATGACTGAAAGTCTGTTACGTATACAGTCAAATTCGGTTGTAACAACATCCAAGGTCCGGTGAAATTGTGTAGTTATAAATTATTGTTTTGAAAGCCGATAAAGGCATAAATAGAGTACAAAGAGAAATGCGTTGTGTAATTCTGTACACCACTAACATTCACTTTAAATGGAAACTATATTTTACAGTACGTAAAGAATGATGATTTTAATGATATGAACATATTTTTTGAACATTGAATTTGTATTTTCTGAGGATATTGAGGGATGGAGTAATCAAAGTCACTTGATATTGTTTACAAAGGGTCGTTGACACAGCGGGAAGGAGAAAGTACCGTTGAATTCTTCGCCGTCAGTGCAGAGATGTGGGGTGAGGAGAGGTTGCCATATGTCGTGCAAAATGAATTTCTTATACCGTGTGCGTCTAAGAGAGGAAGAGACTCGCGTGTTTTATTAAGATTGTTTAATATCATTCAACATTAGATGCTACTGCCAAAGTGATGTTTTAACCAAGTTCGGCTGTATATGTGCAATAAGAAGTATCGAAAAATCTAATCAGGAGTTGGAGATTTTATATAATTATGTATAATTTTATATTATCACACAATTCAATTTGTAATATGATGTAACTTTATTGAGAAATTCACCGAATTTCACTCCATTTCCATGTTAAATCAGGCACTATAGGCTTGTAGGTCCAATAAATTTGAAATTTCGCGCAAATTTTCAGTATTTAATCAGTCGAAATCCGTCGGATATATTTGTGTACAGACAGTCAGACAGACATGATTTATGCTTAACTCTTTCGTATTATTTCTAAAGAAACATAATAATAATAATTAAAAATAAGGGTATCCCTGTAAGAGGCCGTGGAGGCCCACAGGATTACGAGACGTCGAGGCTCCCACATTTTATAGACAGTCGGCTCACGAATGGCGGTGAAGTTGTCAACCTTACGCACCTACAAGCTGCCCTTTAGCCCCAGGAAGATTCCTGGTACACATTTCTCTTAGAATTTAAGTCGACCCCATGGCCACAGTGCGACAGGAAGGTTTAAGTCAATAATAATATTTATAATATCTTACATTGAATTGAATGAATCCTGGAAGATTCGCGAAAGCAATTTTAAGTTATCGACCCAAAACGGAATGATGAAAAGGTTGTTCGATGAGGACACGGAAGGAAAATTAAGAACGTGACGGGTCCTAAGGCCTATCTAACACTTGTCAGAGAGCAGAAAAATAAAACGTACCTTCATCGACGAAGTTAGTACATATCGTATAATAGTTCTGTTAATTTAATATCTGGTTAAGAGACTAACTGAAGGTTCAGTAAGTCCATTCCTTACTACGGTCTAAGGAGGAGAAGAAGAAGAAGAAGAAGAAGAAGGAGGGGGAGGGGGAGGGGGAGAAGAAGAAGAATTTGACCTAAGGACAAAACTTAAATTATTGTTTGAGCTTTGACACTGCTAAGTTAATCAGCTTTCAACTCATGCAATAACTACTAGGAGAATTTGGTACTGACATACTCGTTGAATAAGAAATGCATAATTTTAAAAACATTTATTCAATTTGCCCTGTACGAGTATGCAATATGGTGATTCCGAGGCCGCTGGATATTCTCAGATTCGATTCAAGATTTACTAATGCCATATAATTTTTTGTTGTTGCGATACACCCTGAAGGAGACAAACAGATTTTAATAGTAAGGTCTTCTGAGATTTAACGCTGTGTAGTTCGGAGGAAGCCAGATGTTTCGGGGAACATACGACCTCCATCTTCAAGGTCGAATTATAAGCCAAGTAAGTGGCCAGCAGAAGCAAGCGGCAAGCTCGTACTTCTCCTAATCACCGCCTTCAGAACCTTAAATCCAACAATTTTTGTTACTTCTTTAATTTAATATAATGTAAAATTGCCAAATTTAGCGGATAGAGGATATGGTCAGCGCAACGGATCCCCACGGCCGTTAATTTCGGTTTTCTAGACCGGAGCCGCTATTTCCTTGAAGCAGCTCCTCAGTTATTCCCACGAGGTTGAATGGACCCCATTCCAGACCCACCACTTCTCAGAAAATCTGATAGAGCCGGGAATCGAAACCGGGACCGCTGGATCTGTAACTAGGAACTCTGAGCACTAGACCACAGAGGCACTAACTTCGCCGACAAGTGGCGGTCGCTCGGTCGGTATAGTTCGCTTGCGGACTCAGCGACGGAGTTATTTTTAATGTAAGATGAATATGCAACTGTCCAACGATCCGGAGGCAAGGTTATCTGGACATGACGAATTCGTCCATAGAACGTAAGAAAGACATGGAGACAATTTTATCATAAACGGATCTGCAGTTACATTGCCGTCCTATTTGTCGACTTACAAGAGGTCGTTTTCTTATTCTATAGCTATGATTTACAGACAAGATACTTTCCACCACGACTCTCGTGACATTCTAACCATTCTTTGGAAGAATACATGTAATTTATATCAGAACTTTTTGTAGTATTCGCTTTGCATTCTCGCTGGCAACAGCACCTTCACCTTTACTGCTGCTGTCCTGTCAGTGGCAGCCGATTTCTTCCGACTGCTTTTTGTTGTCTTCTGACTTGTGCTGAATACTCCGAATGCCTGTTTAAAATTTGGTCTACACTTCCTGTTATTAGATCTCCTTTCCAGTTTTAGTACCGCTCTGACTCCCTCGAATGTTGCTGAAGGTGAAAATGGTGATGATGATATGGCTAAAGGGCTTGCTTCTGGACAGATATGTTTTCTCCTTGGTTTGGCGTTGTCCTCTGCATGTGTGACCCGTAGTTTTGGAACTCATTGACAGGACATTAATCTTGTCAACTGTTGCAGAAATACCGAAGTCGGAGCTGCTTCTGTACTGGACAAATGAGGTGGAGCCATCGCAGTTTCCGGACGAATATTTTTGTTAACCGGATACACACTTATGCTCATTGGATACATACTGTATGCTTTGCTCCCAGTCGCTACTGTTAGCCATAATTCAGCGAAAAATTTTCAGATTGTTTGCTTCATTGTTCCCTTTCCTGGATACCTTCTTATCGATGCACCTAAGGCGCGATTGAAAATATATTTAAGTGGCTTAAATAAGGGTCTGTCTAGAGGCTGTAAGAAATGAGTGATATGGGGTATGAAGCATAACAAATAAATGTTGTTTTATTTTGCAAAAGACAGAGATTCTGTTGGAAACATAAGAGCTGTGCCCATTCAAGAAGAAAAGTAACAGGTCTAGGAGATCAATGTACGTGAGAATTCTGAAACCAGATAGCGAAACTGCACGAGTTAATATATTCTTTCACTGATATTTGGACAATTCTCCCAGGTGGAAACGCAACCCTTAATGCTGGTTCTTACTGTTGATTTTGAAAATCACAAAGGGAGATTACGTATTTCCTAGTAGCATTACGACAAGCCATGATCGCTGATGCCGCACCTTCTCTGTATCCGTAACTTGTAGCTCTGCAAAGATTTTTGAGGGTATAAAAAAATGCTACACTCTACTATTGTCTACAATGTAAATGAGTTTTGATTGGCACATTAAGTCTAAGTCTTATACCGCGCCATAGATCAAGCGGTTAGTCGCTGGCTTCCCACGGCGGCGGCCCTGGTTCGATCCCGGGTCTGGTCAAGTGGGATTTGTGGTGGACAAAGTGGCGCTGGGGCGGGTTTTATCCGAGTACTTCGGTTTCCCCTGACAATCTTCATTCCACCAAATTCCCCATCATCATAATCACCGGGGGCAGCCTAGAATAGGCCAATCAGTGGCCTCCGTGCCGAGTGGACCCAGTTGGACTCCATCCCCCACTAAGCAAATTTTAAAAGTCTAAGTCTTGTGTAATGGTCTTATAAGCAGCAAAGAATACATCCATCTGGTCATAATCAAGACACACAGCCCTTCCGCATAATTTTGTTCCAGTTTTTCATACTGGCAGACTCAGATGGCGATTTAGAAACCAAACAGCCAAGTCGTAACTGTACATTCATCAGAATTTAACTAAATTTGGATGTCAATTATTTATACGAATTTGCCAAACTGTTAGTTCCACTGAAGTACCACCGTAATCAGTGCCTTATAATGTTAGAATGTTTTTAATTGAGTCTTCATTTTCAGGCCCCAAAGCGGATTCTCGTGAGCTCTGTTTTTATCATCATATTATCTGCTGCTGTTTTGTGTAAAATATTTCGTGATGTAGCAAACTCCACGTATTCAGCAATGAAATGACCATTTCTACCTCAGAACCGTTTGGGCTGCATATAACGACCGTGTCAGCAACAAGGAGCATATTGTTCCCTACAGCGAAGAATGATTGGATAATTACTGAATAATGAGTTGGAAAGTTGCTGAAGGAAGAGGGTACGTCCTAATTTAAGGTACTGTATTTGTATTTGCCTAAAGGGAATGAGGGCCGGTCACGGTAGCCGAGCGGTCTAAGGCGTGCACTGTCTTCGATCGCTCGGAAGCCGGGATCGATGTTTGTGTGCGTTTCTCTGTGTTTGTCTACAGGTAGAGGCCTTGCGATGAGCTGATCACTCGCCCAAGGAGTCCTACCGAATGTGTAAGATCGAGAAAAACCGAAGTGAACGGAGAAGTTCATGGAGGTAGGCCTAGGCCCACTGGGGCTGTAGTGCCAAGGTGGGGGGGGAAGTATCACATTTAGGAAAAAAGCAAGGACAACTTGCATATGAACGATATATAAATCGATACAGACAACCCTATATTTAAGATATTACACGAAATTTACGACAGGTAGCAGCACACAAACACACCCCCAGGAAAGTTATATAAGCGGGACCAATCAGACAGAACGTCCGTATCGGTCCGTATTAGTATAGTGACAAACACTCAAGTGGACCAAGTGCGTGGGAGCATACATCCTAATGTGGTACGTAAGTATAGCAAGTATATATGTTGGCACATGTAGAGGGGGGGTAGGCATGACGAAAATAACAGGTTCTGGATCGGATGATTGGATTTATTGGCACTTCGGTTACAATTTCTCTTAATTGTACCCAATTATAACGCTATCGCTATTCTGCATACTTTCAGTTCACCGTTGAACACGCACTATAACTCTGTCTTCACTAGCCGTCTCCTGGCAGCGGATCTCAACAAAGAAACTAGCACTTAAATCACTATGAAGTCTCGTTGCTATTTCGTCTTCAGTCATTCTCCACTCCTCTGTCCTAACTTGTATTCAACTAATCTTCACAAACTTTACAACGTTTGTAAACTGTCTACATATTTCTTGAATTTCAGCTCAAACATTACATGCTTCTGTTTACCAGCAGTCACAAAACGTGATTTTACCTTTCAAGGACACATGCTTATGAAGGTATTACAGGTTCAATCCAATGTTAGGACATATACCATTATCTCCTCGTTTCCCTTAAGATTTGCCGTGACTTATGCTGTCCTCCTCTTTAACAAACCGTATAATAACGGCAAGGGATTTTTAGGCCTACGTTCAACCAGCAAGCTCGATGATCACCACTTGTCGTCCGTCCGCGACTGCATATTACATATATTTCCTGGAACCTGAAGGACAGAGACTATTAGCAAAACTACATATGGACTGGAGGTTAGTGTTAACAGGAAGAGTTGTATCTGATAGGATATAAACCATGTTCATAGCAGTCTGCCACTGATTTCTGTCCTGAGCCAGATGAATCCCGTCCATAACACCCCTCATTCTATTGCGTAATATCCACCTTAATTACTAGGATTTCAGTTTCTCATGGTAGTGGTTTTGAAGAGTTCTATCCCCTGGGATGTAACTGTGTGAAATCCGTTGAAAGTAAACGGAAGTTTCGGACAAATATTTCGCCTCAATTTACAGTGTCGAAAAATAAGCTAAGCGAGAAAGAAGAAAACTCTATTGCTCTGAAGATAGAGGCGAATTTTCCTTTGGAAACGTCGGTTGATTTTCAACTGACTACACGACGTTATATCACAGAAGATAGAACGCTTGAGAAATGATAATTGCTTGAAGAAAATGCTCAAGAAGTATCATAGCCTGAGCGGGAGTAAGCATTTTAGCATACTGCATGACGCGGATCTCTGCAGGTCACCCTGTCTTGATATGAGAATAAAAGGCACGTAAAGGGGTATGATGGGACTAAATACATGGTTACGTTAAGGAGAAATGGAGTACATATAGAATTTTAGTAGGAAACCTATTGAAACCTCCACTTGGAAGACCGAGGAGAAGATGGTAGAAGGATGATGAACTTGATTAAATTGATAGAAATGTATTTTGTACGCCTAAATTGGGATAGTGAACGGAACTACTTCAGAATCATGTCCAGTGACGGGCAAGTTATTAGCGGTGCTGAACCTTGGCCTTCTGCTGTCACAGTATTACTGATCCACGTATTTGCACGTGATAAATATATTCCCTATATTCCGTATTTGTCTTTGTAAAACAATCAGGACTTCCAAATTTCGAAGTACTGCTGACAATTTCATCTTTCTGTCACAATGACGCGCCTTCACACTGGGCTCTGATCTTTCTATGAGACTAAGTTAATACGTCACGTCTTTGAACTTGATCTGTTAATAAGTATTGTGAACGCTTTCTATATCGGCGACAGCAGTCGGAATCGAACCGGAACTTATTGAATGTCATTCTCTTTTTACTTCCAATTGTATCCAGCGGTTTCAAGTTCTCATGTAAATACTTTTCTGACTCAATAAATTTCTGAAACCGAAGTAAATTTTCAACTTATCTAGATGATGGTTAAGTCGAGGAGGATGAAATTATTGGGATTTGCAGTAAGCATGGGGACATGAGAAGAGCTTACAAAATTTTTGCCGGAAAAAGTCTCTTGGAAGACCTGGCAATAGATGGGCAATTAATATTAAGATGGAACTTGAGACAAGTGGTTGAAACTGGATTCAAGGGACACGGATCAGACTGCAGAGGTGGGACCTTGAAAAAGCGGTAATTAGTATTAAAAGCTCAATAAAGGCAATGGATTTATTTACCAGGTCGGCAACTGCTGGATTCTCAAGGACTCTGCCCCAAGATGTTATTGACAGCAACCTGTCTGACCTCGTAAAATAAAGGAAGATAAATGAGGTAAGAAGTGCCTTTAGTAACCAATAAATGAGCTACATTGTGCCAAGTAATAGTATATTTTCACATTGGCCGACAGCTAAGCCACTAGAGGTGAGACATTTCCAAGTATCAACTGAGTGTACAAATAGGGCCAGAGCCTTGGGGGTTAAATTTATAGGATTAAGAAGTTCGATGAATTCTATCAAGGTCAGTTCAAATTCTTTGCGATAAATTGCAGAGGTTCTTTTATTTTTCTTGAGAGAAAACTATTTTATGCTCAAATGGCAATACGAAATAATGATGTCTTATGGCAATATTTACGGCCGTGTGGATCCGTTGCGCTGACCACGCGACACCCTCCATCCGCAAAAGTTGGCACTGACTTCGCCGACAACCGGCGGTCGCTCGGTCGGTATAGTTCGCTTGCGGGCTACAGGCCACGAAGTATGACAATATTTGCCTCTGACTTCAAAGACCACATCCTGTTAAAGATCGAGAATACTTTTTAATTGAAAAGTTACGATGGTTTTTAAAGCAGGACATCCCGTTTTATTTTTTCCTATCAATAAAAACACAAAGTTAGATCCTGAAGTCTCTTAAGCGCACTTGAAACCAATAAATATTCTTGAAATCAAGTGGAACCGTGTCTGACATGCATCCGGGAGGTAGCAGCTCAGAACCTCAGCGTAACTGCGGCTTTTCTGGCTGAGACTAAACTTTACGGTTGAATGACTTTCCCTCCTGCTTCATACTCGTAAAGTGTCGGGTTCAAACATCGGGCCGAGGCCGGCCAACCTGACTCAGAATTTCATGGGTTTCTTTAGTCTCTTCAGTAAATGCTAGGATAGTATTGTTCGTGACTTGGAACTTGATACAGTGAACCCTCAGTATCACGTGTGTTTCAGGGGACAGCTTTAGTACCGGTGTTATACGCTACGCGCGTTTTGTGTAAAATCGAACTTTAATTTTGGAATTCCTGATATTACTTATACTGTCACGCGATGGAGAGGCTATAGACGGGGTTTGGATTGGTAATTGGATTTATTGCACAATTTTACAATTCGTGACTAGACTTTACAGATCACTACACACACAGACTAGTGTTTTAAGTCACGTTGCTTGATAACGGCTTCCAACGGCTGACGATTCTCTGCTTCCGTGCTCAGATCCTCACTGCCTGGCACCTTTCACATTCAGCTCACGAAACTCCAGATTAACCACTTATGTAGCTTTGGCCCGGACGGCATAGGAAACACCGCCTCAAACAGCTATTCTGTGGTGCTATGACGTCACTATTTGCGCGGTTTCTCTGGCCCCCCAATTCTTGCTTTTCGGAATATGAAATAAAATTCATCCAGTGACTAAAATATACGAAAGGTATAAAGTTGTTCCTGTGCTTAACTAATTAAGCACTACGCCACCAAAGCGTATGGGGGGAGTGGATGTGTAGATTCACGCTACCCCGGCGAAATGAATACACCAAATGTCAGGTAAATTTCACACATATGTTTCACATTCTACTGAATTGCTTATATTTTTACTACTTACGAACTTAGCCACGTTAGAGAAAACAAGACAGACATTCCTACTGGACTACGGACTTTACGCTCTGTACCTGTAAGCTACAGCAAGGAATGTTGGAACACAGTTTTATAATTTAACCAAAATATTACATTGAAATTTATACAACACACAACGTATATAATCGCATTGTGTGACAAACACTGCCGCTGTATAACTAGGCGCTGTGTACCGAGGGCTCCCAATCTGTACTGGGCGAGGAAGGGAGTTTGAAGAAGGAGGGACGGAAACAGATCAGTATACTTCTCGTTACTGCATTCCATGAAAACCTGTGGGTTAGAATCTCTGGCAGCAACTCAAACCAGACAACGAATATCTGTTTCTATGTATTTTCGGATTCCTTGTTTATTAGACACTCCAAAACACAGAATAATAATTCTTTGACAAAAAAAAATGTGAGCACAATAAGAAAGAATATAAAAATGAGAGAAAACAACGTATTGGCCAGGGCTGAATTGAAAGGGGAGCAAACATATCGGTCGCCCCGGGGACTGCACAAATCAGAAACAAAATAAGGAGATTTTGCTGAGACACCTGCTTCTCTAAAAGTACTAACTAGTTCATATTTTTAGTTGTTATAGAAACCATGAAGAAAAAAGAAAAAGAAAATGAGTTTTCGTAATATAATTTTGTTTTTACTGATAGAGGCCTCTGACAGCCTCTGTGGTCTAGTTATCAGAGTTCCTGACTACAGATCCAGAGGTCTGGGTTCGATTCCTGACGCTACCAAATTTTCTGTGAATTAGTGGGTCTGGAACGGGGCCCACTGAGTCTCATGAGGATAATTGAGGACCTATTTCAAAGAAATAGCGGCTCCGGTCTAAAAACCGAGCTTAATGGCCGTGGGGATCCGTTGCGCTGACCACGTGACACCATCTATCCGCTAAAGTTGGCACTAACTTCGGTGACAAGCGGCGGTCGCTCAGCCGGTATAGCTCGCTTGCGGACTAAAGCCACGTCATTTGTTTTTTGTTTCTTTCTTTGCTAGAGGCCTTTACATTTTGACAGCCCCAGAGCCCTCACAACTGCATGTCCTGCCCTGGTTTGGCTCAAAATTCAGTGCACAAAACTACGACCTGCTGGACTATCTCTGTGTCCAGATTTGGACGCCGTATGTCAGAATGGGCTTTAACTTTTGTTCTACAGTAACATTGTTGACTAATGTATTTTTAATTTGTTCTTAGTTAATTTAACGACGTGTTTTGTAGCTCAGACTATTCAGTGACGGATTGCTCAATTATTAATTAATAACGAATTGGAGAGGATGTATAAGGAATAAATCGTGGCCTATTTGAGTTTTTTATCCCAAAATTTGCTTTTGAGGGACTGAGTGCTACGGTGGAGCACCTCATTCAGCTAGTCTTCTGGCTGAGATTTCAACGCTGGACTTCCCGAATATGGAGCAGGGTGACTACCCAATCGACTGGGAGATTACATTTGGCTAGTGTAATAACACTTTTATAGTATACAGAATGTTTCACAACTTTAGGGCATAACTGCAGGAGGTGATTTCCTAGGTCTTTGTGATCAAAAATTCATATAAACATGTGTCTGATTTTGGACGGTTACGGAGTTATGACCGTTTTAAACTCAGAATAGAAGGTAACGATTACTGACAATAACCGGAACAAAATAACAAACCAACATAATACGTGATACATTCAAAGTATGAATGTAAAGTTAACTTCGTGAAATTACCTTTAATTTGAATTGATTGGTGCTTAAAGCTGATTTTCGAAAATGCCACCGCCGGCCGCAACACAGGCTACCGCTCGGTTGTGAACCGCGCCGGACATAGCAACCCACCCCGCCTTAGGTAGCTCTCAAGTGTCGAGATAACGAGAACGCTGTGTCTGTAGCTGGCTAAAAATAGCGACCCGCCAGCTGACAGACGCGTTTCACACGAGGGCGTGTACGGGAATGAAAAAACGGTCATAACTCCGTAACCGTCCAAAATCAGACACATGTTTATATGAATTTTTGATCACAAAGACCTAGGAANACCTGCAGTTATGCCCTAAAGTCATGAAACATCCTGTATGTATTACTGAAAGCGTAGTTAAACAAATAAAAATGTTTTACTTGTTACCTTACGTGGGTGTTAATAGTTTCTCTTAACATAAGGGAATAAAGTAGATTGAGGGTGTCTGGGAAGATGGTGAAACCAAGAGAGGAAGAAAATAAGCTGATTAAATCAAAGAGGATAACATTGACGGGAAATACAGCATGCATTAGGAGGGAGAGAAAAGTATAGAAACTTTACCTTGAAGGAGGAGGCTACATGGGAAACGCACACAAGGAAGGGTAGATAACAATCCAAGAGCGAGAAAGGAGCTGGGCTGGATTGAAATTTGCTCAGAATAAAGTGCACTGACACGCTTTAATGAATGAATTGTGGGTCATGGAACCAACTTTAGAACTTAAAGAAAAAATTAAATTAGGTCATAGTTCATCAAGTTCTGTGAACTGACTACTAAATACAACGTTAATCTGTGTCCCACAAATCTTGATTTAAACACAGTTAATGACAACCCAACCTTGAATGGATGAAATAATATAGAAAGTTGTAGAGCTAAGCAAGTGGATTCTTGTGGTTAGGTTTGCACTGTCACTAAAAAAAGAGTGGAAATAAAGTGAAACAAATGAAAGAATGACTTAAATACAAGTAAGTGAATTCTGGCCTACTGCAGAAATATGAAACATAAATCAATAAATAAATGCATAAGACACCTTAGTCCAATTATAGAATATCCTATTGTATCATGGTCACAGAGAATTACAGAGGAGTTCACATCACAAATTTTTGAGCACATTTGTTTCAGATAAAAACCAATTGTTGACATAGCCAATCACTAAAGGAAATATTACGCGGCTTAATGACGGTCAGGAGGTACATTTTTCTGCAAAAATTTCTGTTCGAATAATGACTGACGACATTGTAATACCAACTGGAACACTGCCGTTTATTGTTGACACTTTCCGATTCTAAATGAAATAGGTGTTTGATTTCCATTGGAGGGACATAACGACGAACCATCAAACATTATGACAGACACAGCCCTGCTTGGATCAGTTACATATCTATCTATCTATCTATCTATCTATCTATCTATCTATCTATCTATCTATCTATCTATCTATCTATCTATCTATCTATCTATCTATCTATCTGTCTGTCTGTCTATCTATCTATCTATCTGTCTGTCTGTCTGTCTGTCTGTCTGTCTGTCTATGGCTCTGCAGTCCTTTTGTTGGAACTTGGCCTCTTTTTCATTATTTCAATCCTGTAATCAGTCAGTAGGACTCTTTGGAAAATGGATCAGCCTATCGCAAGTCCGCTGCCTACACACAGAAAAAGGCATCACAGAATACAAGCACACAGGTATCCATACCTTGAGTGAGATTCGAACCCACGATCCCAGTGTTCAAGCGATCGAAGA